ACAGACTGGCTCTCTTCAGCCCAGCCAGACACAGGCATCCCTCTGCCTTCTCTCCTTTTGCTTTTCTGATCATCTCACCTGTTTCCAAGGACCTTCTACCACAGCCACCTGCAGCTGGTCGGACAAGGCTGTGCTGCAAACCCACCCGTAAGGTTTTGGTCAACTCTCCATTCACACACTTCAGCATTTGAGCTGCACTCGATATCCAGGGAGACGAGATTAGGTTGTTCGCTCCAGCAGCTCCAGAGATTTGCAATTCTCTGTCATCTTTGCGTTCACCCAGACAAGGAACAACCTCTTCTTTCACATCGTCCTTGGTCTCAAGCTTTGCAAATGAAACAGTTGTTCTTCAAGAAAGAAAACAAACATCCTCTCCCTGCATCCCTCGCTTCCTAGGTTGTTGCCACATCTTCTTGCAACTCTTCAAGGTCCCTCCAGTCTCATTCTACAGACACAAATTGCCCAGGCCAAGAGCTGCTCTGTTCATATCTTTCTTTTTCCTGACCCAGAAATAAGCTCAAGCTATTTTCTCCTCCCTTATTTGAAATATAAAAGTCTCCTGCAGTGATAAAGCGCTAACGTTGCTCCAATAATACTGACTCGCTCTGTATTTATTTTTACAAATACAAAAGACAAAGGAAGCACAAACATCCATGTAAAAATGAAAATTCCAATTTAAAGAGGATGCCAGGAGTAAAAAAAAAAAACTCCCAAGCCGGCATAAACACTGGGGCAGGTTTACACAGCAAACCCCAGTTAATAAATATACTGTACAGAACTCCAGGTGAGCACTCCATGAAGAGTACCAAGGGACGGGCTCTTGATTTTGGGTTCTCACCATGGCCTGGAGCATGAAGTCAAGGTCACAGTCCGAGCAGTCATGATTCTGTGTGCTGGACGGGCTGTAAGCACTTAATTTAACACTTTAACACAATATTGGCACTGAGCCCTGGAAAAGCTAATACTTAGGAGGAATGTGAGCAGCAGAGTGGCTGCAGTCCACCCGTTCCATACAGAGACACTGAGGTCCAAGATTTGAAGGTAAGGTAGGACTGCTTAAAATCTGTATAAAAAAGAAGCCTTTGGGTGATAAGAGAAAAAAGAAAAACCCTGTACATCCACAAAGGAGTTACACAACAGAAAGGGACGCATCTGTTTCGATACGGAAGATGCCGAGACCAATATGCAGATGCTGACCTTCAAAAACGTTGGTATTTCAGCAACAGCCCTGGAGTAATCTCTCCTCAGGTTGACAAAAATCTCTGAAGAGAAGTGCATTTTTACAGTAAAAAAAAAAAAAAAATCAGCTAACTGAAAGGCTGTCAATCTTCCTTGGTGCTGCAAACACAGGAACATTCATAAAGCTCCAGCAGCTGGACGTATTCCAGTACGAAATGAAGTTCTCTCACCGTGCTCATGCATCGACCATGGATGGGTCCAAAGGGTTGGGTCAAAGCTGTCGCTCCGAGGATGGGGCCCTGCGTCTGGGTGATAGCTGAACGTGTTCTCCAGGTGAGCAAAACCACAGCAGAGAAACAGGGAGGAACCTCAGGCTTGTGGTGATGTCGATGTCTCTCTTGAACAACTCCAGCCTAAAGCTCCCAGGAAATGGCTGGAAGGCACGCGCTGTCGTGAGCTGCTTTGCCAGCAAGTTGTCCTCCAAGAGGCAGAGCCCAAACACCTGGACAACCTGGGGAATGCTGAGGAATCCCAAGGCACCTCTCGTCGTGTGAAGCCACGAGGCAGAAAGCTCCTGCAAGAGGTTGTTTCCCATCAATTGCTCCCCTAAGGTCCCTAAGGCTGGACCACAATTTAGAAAGGGTCCCCTACCTTTGTACAGCCCCCATGGAATCACAGAATGGTTTGGGTTGGAAGGGACCTTAAAGATCATCTAATTCCAGCTCTTCTGCCATGGGCAGGGACACCTTCCACTAGACCAGGCTGCTCATCTACTCTTCAGGCAGAACGGACTCAAAACTTGGGAGATAAGAGTGATCAGAAACCCGGGCTGGAGATTTGCCTCCTCAC